GTGAAAACACTCACCAAGACAGTTAGAGACAGTTACAAATTAAGAAAGATAGACTTACTAAAAGGAGGATACATTGTGAGGAAAACGAGTACAACAGCAACAGTGTACCACCTGTTAAGAGAACGTAGTGGATTGCCTGAGCCCGCGGGTTCGAGACCCACCTGGGCAGCAAGACCTCATCTCTACAATAAATCAAAAAATCAGCCGGGTGTGGTAGCGCATACCTGTAATTCCGGCTACTTGGAAGGCTGAGGTGGAAGGATCGCCGGAGCCCAGCAGGTCGAGGCTGTGATGGCCGGGAGCGGCCACTACACTTCAGTCTGGGCGACCGAGTGAGACTCCAACTCCAAAAAAAAAAAAAAAAAAGAGAATGTAGTGGCCTAAGGTTCTTCCCAGTGGAGTCTGACTCTCACTTTGGTTAAGGCGAGTTGTAGGATTCCCATCATGTATTTGGGTTCCTGCCATGCAAATGAGGCAGTTCTGATTGGTTGATGTTTGACATTGTTTGTAAGGGGTATATGGGCCAGCCAGAAATGTGTAGAGTGGCTGGTTGATTGTGGGTTTTTGTTTATTTAACTACAACGATTGACTGTCACAGAGCAAGCAGCAAATGTTTTTCAGCTGGCTATTCAGCTTCTACAATTCTTGTAGTCTCATTCTGAGATTTCCTTCCTCAAAATAGTTTACCCAATTGATGCTGGTCTAATCTGGTCTCAGGCTTCCCCACAAGGTTGAGGCTACAGTGAGCCCTGATTATGCATGGACAACAATGCGATCCCTACTCAAAAAAATAAACTGCTGAGTCAAAAGGGAGGCAAAAAAGAACGTGTGATTCCATTTATTTAAAATTCAAGAAAATGGAAACGAATCCATATTGACAGAAAGTGGTTGCCTAAGAATGACGTTGGATAAAGAGATTTCCAAAGAGCACAAGAATGGTGATGGTTAATGGGTGTACATGTATGTCAAAACTGATCAAACATTACAACCTTGTATATGTGCGGTGAAGTGTTTTTCAATAATACCTGCATAAAGTTTTTTGAAATGGGGGTTATAGTAATAGCTTCAGGCTGTTGTAGGGATTCACTGAGTATGTTAAGCACTTTATCATACCTGGCTCCCTGAGTTTGCTGCCACTAAGACTTACACTTCAAACTTCAACCTCTCTACAGAGTGCCTCATGTGAAGTCCAGGGATAAAGATTGTCTGTGACTACATGTAAAGATCATGCATCTGAAGAATTTTTTAAAAATAAGATTTGGCAATGTGTGTCACTGGGTAAACTCAATCAACTATTATTAAGGCAAAAAATACATATACAAATATTAAGAACTGGGTTCAAGACCAGGTATGGTGGCTCACACCTGTAATCCTAGCACTTTGGGAGGCCAAGGCAGGAGGATCATTTGTGGCCAGGAGTTCAAGACCAGTCGGGACAACATAAGACCGTCTCTGCAAAAAAATTTAAAAATTAGCCAGACATGGTGGCATGCCTTATAGTCCCAGCTACTGGGGAGGCTGAGAAGAGATAATCACTTCAGCCCAGAAGTTCAAGCCTGCGGTGAGCCATGATTGTGCCACTGCACTCCAGCCTGGGAGGCAATGAGAGCGTGACTCAAAGAAAAAAAAAACTGGGTTCAAACATTTTTCTTTCAATGGGATTTTAACATGATAATTTATTTTAAAAAGTTTGACCTTCCTTTGAGAGTAAGTTAGTACAAACTGCCATATAGAAAAACAAGAATCTACTAGGAGGGAAGCACAGACCACTTCTCCTTTCAGGGCTTAAGTTACCCTCCATGTAAGATAAAGGAACTAGACAGGCTGATCACTTTATGTAGATACAGGTCTAAACGTGCATCAATTACTCCATTCACTTATTTTTCCTTGCATCCTGTCATATCACTGCCTCCTGATGTACCTCCTACTTTTCTCTGTCCTGGTTCTTCATTCAAGTGTGGATTTCCCCAAAAGTTTCCATGTTATTCTTTTCCCTCCTCTGTGTATGTTCCACTGAAATTCCCAAATTAAATTTCCTGACCCAAAAGTTTCTGGGAAAGAATAAATGATAAAAGTGCCACAAAAAGAAACAAAAGAAGTGGCAGAATGAAAAAAGTCATGGGTTTTGGCAATCAGAATGTCACTGAGTCAGCCATCCAAGGTTTCTGAGTAGGGAGTGATGCACCCTTGGAAGGACTCTGGCAATCTCTGTGAAGAATGAATTAAAGTCAGAAACCATTCGTAAACTGGGCTTCAGTGGCTCAACCTGCAATCCTGCGCTTTGGGAGCCCGTGGGTTCGAGACCCACCTGGGCAACTTGGCGAGACCTCATCTCCACAATAAATAAAAAATTAGCTGGACGCA